TCTTCCCCCCCCCAAATTGACTTTAAAATATAGCACAGCCCAATTGTAAAGGTATGTGGGTTAGGAGTAACCTCATTATAACTAGAGCCAAATGGATAAAGTCCACATATTTTAGTTGTCTGTTATTTGTGAAGTTCCCAGGGAGTCGCCTAAATGTCTACAAGGATTAGTCCCATTCTGTAATGTTTTTCATCAGTTTAAATAAGGAAATGGGGTTGGTGTTAGACTGATATGGAAAGTAAAGGAACTGCAATATCTTTGAGTAACAAAATACTTAAAATATACTACAGTCGGCTGTTGAAAGCCCCTCTCTTTTCTTTGGAGCTATTTCAATCTTCCAGGAAGAGGAACTCAGCTATTGCCCATCACATTTTAAGCAGAAGTTGATCAAAGGGTAACCTTTAACCTTCACTATGGCAACAAACAATTCAGGTCCACTGTTATTCCTGCCAGCTGGCTACTTTGCCATTATGTAAGTGCATTTTGACAGATGCAGCTTTTGCATCTTAGAAACATGAAAAATTAATAAAATGCCATACACACACACACAGTGAACTATCATAAGCCTTGCCATTTACCAATTTACTAAAATTAGCCAGTTAATAATATGCTTCATATTATTTAAAAGACCTAGACTAAGATACCTGGGAAACTGGACATCTAGAAGGTAAAAGACCCAAGTCATTGTGTAATTATAGACACCAAATTAGGGCATTAGGCTATATCAGTATTTCTTAAAATATCATAGGAAGAAATTAATGATCATTAAAGAAAAAAAGTGGGGTAATTAGTAATGAAAAAAGTTTTAGAAGCACTGAATTAAAGTTAAGCAGGTTTTAGTTTGAACTGCAGGACTTCTCAGTACCTTTTCTGAATAAAACTGAACAAAGAGATACTGCCCTATAGTCATCCTTGCCTCTTGCATTTGGAATGGATGTAAGGTTTAAGAAGATGTTATGAAACAACATCCTGTGTAAGGAGGTATTGGATTGTCGGAAAAGTCATGACGTATTTTGTCTATGTTTTTCAAAGGTCATTTATTTATGTAAAGAACAAAGATCAATCAATGATATATTGCCCATTTTGTCTGATAACCTTTTGCCATCTTTCAGTGAGCTTCATAATTCCTCGTTCATAGAAAGACCTGTCTTTATGAAAAACTGAACAAGGTGCTGATTTACAGCCTCATCTGAATTGAACGTTATAACAAGCAAGGAGTTTTGAAGACAGCAAAACAAGTGGAAGACTGACAGCGCAAGGTCAGGTGAGTCTGGTGGGTGTGGCAACACATTCCATCCAAGCTCCAATAGTTTTTGATGGGTGATTAAACTTGTGTGTGGTCTCACATTGTCGCAATGGAACACAACTCCTTTACAATTAACAAGCCCTGGAGTTTCTGGATGATGGATTCATTCAAACTGTTCAACTGCTGACAGTACACATTCAAATTGATTGTTTGGCTCTTTGGTAGGAGCTCGAAAAACATGACACCTTTAAAATCCCACTACACTGAGAGCATAAACCTTCCTCTGATGAATGTTTGCTTTCGATGACGTTTGAGGCGAATCATCACGTTGGGACCAAGAGCGTTTGCACACATTGTTGTAAACAATCCACTTCTCATCACCAGTTATTAGTCACTTCAAAAAAGGATTGTTTTCCTCACGTTTAATGAGCATATTGCAGATGTTTATATGCACCATCAAATTAACTTCTTTGAGATCATGTAGAACCCAAATATCAAGGTTGCTTACATATCCCAGATTCTTCAGGTGGTCATCAACACTTGAATAATGGATGTTCAATGTTTCTGCAATCTCTCATGTCTTGTAACGTGGGTTTGACTTGATCAATGCCTTTATTTTGTCGTCATCAACCTCGGTGGGCCTCCCTGACTGAGGAACGTTGCTGAGATCAAATTCACCAGCACAGAATTTCATGAACCATCATTGGCACTGATGTTCTTGTAGAGCATTGTCACCATAAACTTTATGCAACTTTTCACAAGCTTGATGCACGTTCTTCCCTTTATGGAGTAAAATAGTAAAATATGGCAAAAATGCAGTTTGGTCTTCCATCTTCAACTTGTTGTAAAATCTCCAAAACTCAACCAAATTGCTCAATTTTTTTTTAGAATGAAGCTAGAACTGTCAGCTGTCAAATGACATAGAAATAACTAGATGCAAATGACTCTAGTACTTCCAAAAATGAACTAGTGCCATCTGTTGCAAACATGCATCATGATTTTTCCTACAACCCAATATTTGAAATTAACTGAAGGAGTCACACAACTATAATAATTAAGGATGTGCATTTTAAAATGATATACACTCTGAATCACTTCCTAAATATAGGATTTTAAAAGAGCTTCAGACTTCTCTTTAATAAAAGAGAAACTCCTATCTCTGCTAATAGGATTTTTCACTATAATCTTTTTGCTGTTTAATATATACAAGTAACTAAAGTGTTTTTTGTTTTTTGTATTCCTTAAGTTACACAGTTCTTTGAAAAACATTTTATATAATTCTCAAAAGCTGACTTTAACAAACTTGGACAATTTATTTCAGGTGCAACACATCATTATTTGATCTAATGTAAAAATGAGTGTCATTATTATTTTTATATTCTCTTTTCCTTGACTGAACACAGCTAATAAGGTAAATGTTTTTAAATATCTTTTTTTATGTTTAAATATTTATGTTACGTGCTTATTTTTTCATAAGCCTGGCATTTTTTATCTATCTGTTATTTTTAAGACAGTAGTTCATAAACTTGAGAGTACATAAGAATCCCCTGGAGGGCTGGTTAAAGCTCCAATTGCTGATCCCTCCCCCAGAGTTATTGATTCAGTAGGTCTTGGGTGGAGCTAGTAATGTGCATTTCTAACAAGTTCCCAAGTGATGCTGATGCTGCAGGTCCAGGCAGCACACTTGAAGAACCACTGCTTTCATAGATCACAATGTATTATATGCATATCAGGGTCTTTCCGTTGGCTGAGGCTCCTCAGCCAGACACTAACAGGAGCAAAGAGAGCTGGTCCCAGTTGTCTCCAAAATACCGTATTTCCCCATGTGTAAGACACACCTTAATTTGGGGCCCAAAATTTGAAAAAAAAAATGTATTACATGAAGTTATTGAACTTGTTTTATTCATCATAAAATTCATACAACTCCTCATCACTGTCAAAAAATCTACAACCACTGTATAAGATGCACCCAATTTTTAGACCCCAAATTTTTCGGAAAATGGTGTATCTTATACATGGGGAAATACAGTAAGTCGCCTTTGTATTGACTCCTAGGTTCTGCCACCATAATCTCATTCCCTACCCCCAAAACACAAATTCCACCTCCCCCATCCTTTAATCTTTCCACTGTCAGATAACAATGAGTAGATCATTAGATTTAAAACGTGGTCCACACTTTGGATTTCTTCCCTTCTAATTGCTGCTTCTTATTTCCTTATATACTCATTCCCTCTCTTACATTATATCTTTGCAGGATATTGGCTCTTCCCCGGCCTCGTTTGCCTTTCTACCTAATTGGATCCTCTTGCTAGCCTATATGAATATATAGCCTATAATCACTCCTTTGTTCAATCACTCCACAAGCATTTGTTCAAGGGCCAACATATAGTAAATACGACAAAAATTCTGCATTCATGGGCTTATACTGTAATGGGGAAGATATAAAATAAACATAAAAACAAATAAACATGTTCTATTCAAGGAGTGATGTGTAAATTGAAGAGAAAATATAAGGTAATGGCCAAGAAAGTGACTGGGAAGGAAATGCATCTCAGCTACTCTGGAAACACTTCTCTGAGACGGTAACATGAAGCTGAAACAGAAATATTGTGATGGAGGCAATAACACAATGAACATAGAAAAGGGCATTCCAGGTGGAGGAAGCATCAATGCAAAGGCAGAAAGAAGTCCAGGGCAGTTGCAGTTGGTGAAGGAGTCAGTGGGGAAAATGGTTGAAGAGGAGGTCAGGTAGGGGCAGTGGGGGCCAAATTTTCCTAAGCCATTGGTAACCACATGTCTCTCTCTCTCTCTCTCTCTCTCTCTCTCTCTCTCACTCTCTCACACAAACACACACACACAAATACACAAACACCTGGTATACAATCTACAAGACTAGGATGCATACAGGATGAGAACCAAAACTGTTCCTCTGGCCAAAATATCCGCAGGTTTTGAGAGAGGAGACCCTGAGGGCTACTACCAGAATGCACTGTCTAGCGCTGGAGCTGGTTGTACCAAAATGACAAGGAATTGTACACAGTTCTTATTTCAGAATGTGGACACGGTAACTTTTAACCCTTTTTTGTCTTCATAAATGCAGAATTAAAGAGCCACTCTAGGTACTGATATCTAGCACCCTCTTCCTACTCAATAAATTCAAATTTTGGAGTGAAGAGAGGGCAAAATCAGGTCAGAAGTATGTCCTACAAACATGATTTTACAAAGGCAATGTTCTCAAACAGCACTGAATCTGATAAAATTGACAAAGCAAATTCCAGCAAAATAATAATTAGTATGTGATACACACACACCCCGAAACAATTATTAATAGCAATTAGCCTAAAATAAGAGTTATATGCTCTCAACAAACCCCTCAAGAAAAGCATCAAGCTCACTGTACCTGATACTTTGAATTATATTTCAATGTTTATATCATTAGCCTCCAGGTACATCTGAGGGGATCTGAACTGAAAGGACCATAAGTTTATGTTTACAACGTTGCTTTTACAGATATTAAAATTTGTCACCACTCAACCTGAAGTTTGTTAAATATTCTCACCAGCAATGCAATTCTTTTTTCAGTATACAGAGCTAAAAATGTCTTGTAAGTGCAAGCATCTCAGTTTTTAAAATATTCCAAAATAGTCATTATATTGAAATAAAAGTCCTTTGGTTTCTACTGTAAAACTCCTAGACTGTCATTTATGAAATTGCTTTATGCCCTCCTCACCATCATATATGGTGACAGCATTACCTGTCCGCATCCACTGTCACATCATGAACCCCTCTCTGGATGACATCCCTGGAAGTCGCTGGGTCTGGAATTCGGTTCAAACTCCTAGTGTACAGGTTGAGTCCTCCATCGGTCATGTACCTGAAAATAAATGTCTGATTCATCAACAGAAAATTAAATGCCCTCATCTGTATAATTTCACTTAATAAACAAACTGTACAATTTTCAATAATTATGCAAATATCCTCTATTATAGTTTTTTTCTAAATAAACTTTCTAATCACCAGGAACAATTAGAATGTCTCTTCAAGTTTATTAGAAAGTCAATCTTTCTTACTATTACACAACAAATAACCTTCCTTTTTTCCTCTTTCGTTATTGATATTTTGAACAGGCTTATAGAGCAAGATCATTTCACTTCGTAAATACCATTTTTGATGCATTGATGATTACAGGAGTAATGGAACATTACTAAACTTAAAATTAATTTATTTGATTAATTTTCTGAGTTCTGCCTAAAGGCACTTAAATTATCTATGCCTAGGTTTTTAAAATTGTAAATGGAGATAGTAAAATATGCTTCCCTCTTACAGTTCTGGTGAGATTATTCATGAGTTAATATATGTAAAATGCATAGAACATTGTCTAGCATGCTAAGCACTATACAAGTGTTGGCTAGAATTACCAGCTATGCATCTATGTTTCCACTAGAATTCTTTCTTTTCTTTCTTTTTTTTAAAAGATTTTATTGGAGAATTGGGGGAGGGGAACAGCGTTGGAGAATCGGGGAAGGAGAACAGACAAGTTGCTGTCTTTTTGTTCTTCAGTCTAGTTGTGGAGGACGTTGCTTCACTGGCCCATATTGGTATTGTGATCATGCGCTCTTCCCGGGTGAGGCAGTCACTCGCTGGCCATTGGATGGCTGCTCACAGTGGCTCATGGCAGCTCATGGTGGCTGATGGCAGTTCACGAAAGCTCACACCCGCTGCCGGCCAGCCCCACTGCAGTCTACGCTGTTTGTTGCGGGCAACTCATGGCAGCTCAGCTCCAGGTCAAGCTGTTGTTCACCATCTTAGATGTAGAGGGTGCAGCATCACTGGCCAGCATGTGGGATCTGAACCCGGGCCCTGATGCTCGGAGCTGGCGTCCCAAGCCAACTCCTAACCAACGCTCCACTTGGCCGGCTCTAGAATTTCTACATTTACTAAAAATAACTCATATCTTGAATGTGAAATTAGCAAAAGCATTAGGATTAGGGATCTGTGGTTTACTGTGTAAATCCTTTTAACCCAACTCAGGTAGCCCTTACCTTTCCAATGCTATGCATAGTTCAGTCATCACACAATTTACCAAAGGAGAACTCAGGGAGGATACAGGGAGAAGCAGGATTAACATATCCGCCTCCCTTTTTAAAAAATTCATTCCACATCATTACATTACTTTGTGTTTGGACCATGTAACTTAAAGTAGAATTTTAGGTTATTTTCTTGAGCCAACCATTTATCACTGTGACACCTGCAGATAACTTTGATTTCCACCTAATTAAAATATGTAACTTTCCCCCCAGTTTTCCAGGTTGTGCCTTTTTTGCTTCATAATTGGAGACTTTTTCAAAGAGATGCATTTTAAGTAAGAGGTTTCCTCTGACTAATTCCTAGTTACTGGCAGGTTCACATCCTCAAGTCTTTAAAATAATTTTTAAAAGAGAAGAAAGAGATAAGATTTTGCATGCTTCAAGAAGTTTTGAATTCTCAACATGCTGATTAATTTTCTGAGTTCTACCTCAAGTACCTCAAAAAAATGAAACCCCATCCCCACTTAGTTCATGACATGCCTTGTGGTTACATGAGAAAAAAATTCCTAAATTAAACATCTTCAGTCATTATTATATCTTTTGAGCCTTTTGCCCCTTTAACCAGTGACACATACTTTTAAAAACTGGGAACAGAAAGTTCATTTTGTGACTCAGTTTTTTCAGGGATTGTAGCACAGACATTTTTATGCCCTTTCTTCTTATTTAAGAAAAACATCATCACATTAAAATTCCCCTGGGATGTCTCTAGCCCTCTCATCATCACACCTTTTAATTATAGTCTGAGACAGCAGAGTCCGTCCTGCCGATGCCAACAATGGCACACTGTGTAAACTGGTGAGCAATGACGTACAGCACATCCCTGGTATCCTCACACAATATCCATTGATCACACTGAGCAGAGACCAGCCATATCACCTGCTGACCATGTCTAGTCACTTTCCACCCAGGGAGCAGAACTCCATGTCATTCCCTACATTTCAGTGTCCTATACCCTACCATGGCCGACAGAAAATGCATAAGGCCAAGCAGGTATACATCACCAGACAATGTTTTCATATAGGATTGGTGTTATTTTTACTTACTTTATTTAGATACTAAATGTGAATGACTGTTGGTCAACATAAAACACGTGAACATTGAATGTGTATTTAAATGGACTCATGTGTTGACCTCTCCAAGACTTCATTTGAAAGATGGATAAGGAATAAAAATGGAGAACAGAAATCTGAACTGGGTTTCCACTGAGGCATGAAATAAGTAGGGAGAACAATGTGTTTAACAATATATTTTTTCCTCATTAGTGCATTCAGCAGAGGCTAGCCAGCTCTCATCAAAGCAATTTCCACTTCCGCTTAGGCACATAGCTGACCCGTATTTCGTGGCGTCTCTTACAGTTAGATATGGCCATGCAGCTGTTCTGGAATAGGGAATGTGGGTAGAAGTCGTATGTACCACTTCCAGGCCTGATACATATGTAATATTCTTACACCATGGCTCTGCCTCTCTTTGCCATCTACTGGTTGAATACGAACGCCCAGTGTGATCCTGGAAACCCATTTGGATAAAAGCAGAATTACTGGCCCTCCACCGAGTCTCTGAAAAACTATATGGTGTGTATTCCGCAGCCGAAGGTCAGAAATGCCAGTGAGGGTTTTTTGTGAAGGAGAAATGAACATCTTTGTGTTAAGTTACTGAGGTGTTGAGATTTCTCTGTTATAGAAGTTAGTGTTCACTAATACAGCTAGGGTCCTATATATTATATTATTATATGGAGAAATCAGTAGTTTAAAAAAATTGCCTTAAAAAACATCTTATCTAAGAACGTATAAACACACACAATTCATACATATGTGTATATGTTAGTAGTCATTTATTGAATAAATGAGCACCTATAAAAATATAACAATACTAGTGAGTTACATGTGGGCAGACACTGTGTCTATATCACTCACCACTGCAAACACAGTGTCTAGAATGTTGCTTGACACATAGAATGAACTCAGGAGATATTTTTTGAATACATACCTCTTCCTTCTTCCCTCGTGATCCCTCTTCCCTCTCTATTCTTTTCCCAGAGATCCTCATGTCCCCCATAATTTCTACTATCTCTAATATGAGATCACACTCTCCCTTATATCTCTACCCTGGACACTACTTTTGCTTTATCCCACTGTCTCAGACTTTGCATTTTTAACTCTATACTCATAATCTCCTCTCCGCTTTTTCACAAAAAAAAATAAAAAAAAAAATCAGTTCTCTCTGAACCTGTTTTCTGTAATGGTATCATTTTCTATCTCCTGTGTTTACAAAATAGGCATCTTGTTTTAATTCTCTGTTTCATACTCCCTCATAAGCAGCCTATCATTGTTTCTGTCAATTTTTCCTGTGCGGTCCCTCCCATATCAATTTTCCCTCTTTTCAGCTCTATCAATGCCACTCCAACATTTCTGGCCTCATGACCTTGGACCCAAATTCTTGCAAAAGATTCCTGAAATCTACCCCCAGACCTTCTTCTCTCATTCCACTTTGCAGATGTCCCCTAAACTGATCTTTCAAAAACCATCATCATCCTCCTGTGCGGTTCCATGACTACTAGGTAATCTTCCCTAAGACACAGCACTTTCCATTGCTTATGGTACAGAGTTTAAACCTTTTAGCTTAATGTGATTGAGGCCTGTCACGATAGTCCTTGTCTCCCAAATTGTACCTTTAAATAGTCAGATTCCAGGAATCTCAAGTAAGGGAAAAGTCATTGAATGTCATCTAACTCAATTGTCCCTCTGCTCTGAAAACTATATTTTAGTCAAGCTTGCTGAATGACATATCTTCTGCAATACTTATACTTCTCTTACAAATTTTCTCTTCATGTATTTCCCTCTATAGCTAGTTAAATCAGGGATCAGAACTGAAATGTTTCCTTCTCTCATTCACTCCTTTCTAGTTCATGCCAGGATTTAGAACTTTCTCTTTATTCTAAACTCTTAACTCAAATTTTATCGGTATGAATCTTTTGAAATCACTCACACATTTCATTGTGGCTACCCCTTGATTTCTGATTTAAACTGCTCCTAAGATATGCTCTCTGTCTCCAGGTGAGCATTTTATGTATGTAGAAACACATACAGTCAATTCTCATGATTCATAAATTCCATATTTGCTAATTTACCTACTTGCTAATATTTGTAGCATCAAAATCAATACTTGCAGCACTTTCACAGACATTCATGGACACACTCAGAGCAGAAAAAAGTGTGAGTTTCCCACGTGGACATTCCCAGCTGAGGTCAAATAAGGTGACATTCTGCCTTCTCGTTTCAGCTCTCCTACTGTAAATAAGTGTCCTTTTCACAGTTTATTTAGAGCCACTTTTTATATTTCTGTGCTTCCTGTGGGAGAGTTTGCTCCAAGGATACGGCTGAAGTGTTGTCCTGTGTTCCTAAGTGTAAGAAGGCTGTGATGTGTCTTATGGAAAAAAATATGTGTGATAGATAAGTTTCGTTCAGCCATGGATTGCTCTAATGTTGGGCGTGAGTTCAACGTTAATGAATCAACAAATATGTGTTAAATAATAAATAAGGTGTCTTTAAACTGAAATACACATAAAACAAGATTATATCTTGATCCACTGATGAAAATAAAGGCTTGCCGGAGCCTATATCTGTATTTTCCCAGGAGCAATGTTTCACTAATTAAGTGTTGGTGGTGACTTTCTTTCTTTCTTTTTCTTTCTTTCTTTTTCCCTTTCTTTTCCTTCCTTCCTTCCTTCCTTCCTTCCTTCCTTCCTTCCTTCCTTCCTTCCTTTCTTCCTTCCTTCCTTCCTTTCTTTCTTTCTCTTTTAAGATTTTATTGGGGAATTGGGGAAGGGGGACAGCCAAGTTGTTGTCCAATTCCCCAACTTTGTTCCACTCCCCAGTTTCCCAATAAAATCTTAAAAAAAAAAATTACATGACCTGAACTTTTCATCAATTCATGGCTCTTGCATCACGGCAATGCACCAGCTCACACAGCACTGTGGTGACTTTATAACTACTGCAAATAATGTGACTGACTCACATGTGTGTGTACATATGAACATACAAGTATATATAAATATATGTGTATAATTTAATATTTATTCAAGTAGTGAATATAAAAGATGAATACACATATATGCCCACATTTAAAGAGAGGGAGAAAGAAAAGAGAGGTGGGTACTGGAGGGAAAGAGGAAAGAATGGAGAAGAAAAAGGGGAGAGACAAGAGTGAGAAAGTTCGTGCCTTAGATATTCTTGTGTGGCCATCATGTCCCCTGAACTGGACATTCTCTCCTGGGTGGTGTTAAATCAATAATAATAACAATACCAACCACAAGTTAGTACGATTAACTTATTAATGATAATAAATGTACTTGTGATGATGATAAATTTATTAAAGCACTCATATTGTGACAGGCTTTGGGCTACGTATAATTTTGTGGGTTATTTCTTTCATTCCGAATAATTTCGTGGAGATTCTGCAATGAACCTCCTTACAGATGACAAAAAATAATTTGGATAAATTAAGCTCCCAAGGAGTCCACAGAGAGCAAATGGGAGAAAGGGATTTAAATTAGGCACTCTGACTCCACTGACAAGTCAATCACTTCCTACCCGAGTTGACCATAATCTGTCTCCCTGATTCTAAATTGTTAGAAATTCAGGTAAGGTGGCTACCTGGAATGAACTGGTGGATATCAGGGTATCAGAGCACAGCTATAAATATAATCAAAAGTTCTTTTGTACTTTTTAGGTCTTGTCATCCTTCAAACAAGCTTTTCATGAATGAAGTCAGGAATGGTTAGTCATGTAGAAGAATGATTTCTGATGCTGCTACTTTCAGATGCATAAGGACAAAGGGCAGGTCAAGATCCAGACGCACATGAAAAATATAGATAAGGTTAATTGGGAAGCTTTTTTTTTTGGTGTACAGAGCTTGGGGTTTGAAGTCACACATATCTGAGTTCTAATGCAAGTCTGTCCTTTCCATATACAATTGGGGCCAGTTACGATCAGTTTCCTTATCCATAAAACAAGTATAGATATACTTGCTTCATAAGGGCTGGTGGTGGGAGGTTAAATGAATCAAACTCTTTAAAGCACTTAATAAGAGTGTAGTAGGTGACAGGAAATGTTCAAAAGGGCAATAATTAATAAAAGTGATTTTAATAGAAACGTCCTATTGCCTCCATCAGGGATCATCCTCAGATTGAACTAAATATTCCAAATTGCCAAAATACTTTAAAAGTTTTATAATCACAGCACTTCTGGAATGTAATAGGAAATAGCAGGAACACAGGGGCTAAGATAAAACAGCAAATCTGATACTATCACAAAAATAAATAGATAAAAACCTTCAACTCTAAGATGATTTTCCCTCAAGTTAGAGTAGAGGTGCAGAATTTAAGAATGCTGTAAAATACTTGTTCCTCAAAGCAGTTGCAGACAGCTTTGTAAAAGAAAAAAAAAATCAAGCAGCTCAGCAAAATTCCTTTGTCTCCTTCACTATGAAATATGTTATTTAAGAAGCATGCAAAAATCACTCTGAAAAACACAGGACATGTGTTTCTCTGAAGTAACAATAGAGAAATGCATTGGCTTATCATGAAAAAAAATTTTATAGAAATTTTAGATATTTTACTTTTGATGAATGAGCAGAACAGAGGACTTGAAATACCCTCGCTATCTTGGATTCCTCACATTTTCTAATGACCTTGTGAGCTAGCGTATCTGCCTTCTTTATAATTCACGCATCTTAATAGACCACTTCTCCTCCTGACACAGTTCTGTGAGAGACCAGGGCCCAGGGCCACTTACCCACTGTTGATGTCATCAGCTCTGAGGCTTTTCCCAAGAATATCACCGTCACTCATATAGCCACCAACATCAACTTCAGAAGACATGTCCAGGTCACTGCTGGCTTTCTCACTCATGTCAATTTGTGACATGTTTCCCAGCCGAGAGACAGCAGCTCGACGGAGAGGCGTCGTGTACATGAACCTGGAGGGGTCTGTGTGGATGAAGCGACTGGTACCGCTGCGAGGGTAGCCAGCACCCAGGGAGGGAGCATCTCCAGCCTGAAGTCGAGGACACGCCTGGCCCAGCCTCCAGGTCATGGGGGTGGGTCGGCTTGTCAAGTTAGGGATGGTCCTTCCATTCACTTCTGTCGTCACAGTGCTGTCAAATGTGGTCTCCAGGGTGCTGTCAAATAAAATGGAGAAATAATGATATACTCTGGTTCACTTGGGGCCATAGACCGGGAATACATGAAGACAGGAAAGGCTGCAATGGAGAGTCATGTCTTAGAAGAATGTTATTTTCAAGAAAGTCAAATTACACATTCACAGGCAGATTCTAAAACCTCTGCAGATGTCAAATCGTGGGAAGAGGCATTCATTAGCAGTTTTTTGTTTTGTTTTGTTTCTTTGCTTTCAAAAGAAGGGCCGTTGTTACATTTTAGATAAAACAAAATACTGTTTCACATTCTCAACAAATATTTGACTTACCCCAGTGTAGCCTTCCCAGAACTATTCTGGAAGTTAACTACAATTATGTCTAAAAGTTTGTCTACCACTTCTTCCCAGATGCATTTCAACTGTAACTTCCGCAAATGTTGTTTAGGGAAAGCATGCAAAGGAACTAGTAGCGATGGTGGTAGTTTCAGCAGCTAATTCAATTTTGATGGGAAATAATACTGAAGAAAAGGTAGATAGATAAGAGAAAAAAGTCCCTGGGTATGTGCTGAAAAGTTACCACTTGATTGTCATGTAAAATTTAAGTGAGAAAATAGCAAGGAAAACTAAAATTTTTTCTCTAACATTCTAAGAAGTTAAGTGCTTGATTATAACTTTTTTCTTTACTGGCCCCAAAATATGCAGAACTGAGAAAAACCTGTGGCTTATCTGGGTCCCACGAAGGCTGGACATAGTCTCTTCTAAATTCTGCCTCAAATCGGCTATGTTTTTAACTGTTCTCATTCGTCTTGTTTCGGGGTCTTCACCTAGAAAAGTACCATAATAACGCGTTTGTTTTCATACCATTTACTATCCTGAGAATAGTTATATACATATATAAGTACCATAAATCATTTTTCTTAAACATAAAATGATAGGTAGGAAATTCCAAATGATTATCATCTGAACATTATAATTCTTCTTTCTACAAATTAAATGTGAACAGAAACAAATGTAATGTTACAAGTAATAATTTGAGGTGGTGATAATACAATAATACTTTGTAGGTCTATGATCTAATCACAGCAAAAATGAGAGAATCTTTTGGAAATACACTGCATACCACTCCACATTAATAAATTTAATTTAAAAATCTGAAATTATTGGAATCCTAATTATTTCTGGAATTACCTGTTTCTAAGTGTCCTCAGAATCGTTGAGGTAAACTTGTCTTATGTATCAAGTATACATTTGAACTCTGAGGTAAGGTAAAAAGATAGAGATCTTTTCTTACAGGAGCAATATCTTTTTGTCTTTTATTTTCTTAGACTCATAGACCAAGACTCACAACATTGCATGGTTTTATTTTTAATTATGTCTCTACTATCTATAGGGAACCAAAACATCCACATGTGACAGCAGAATTCCAGTAAAGTCCTAGGCATCTAAACTTGGAATATGTTTAATGGTCATGAAACAAACAGCTCTGCCTTATGATAAATAAATGCTGGCCTTATATAATCAGTATTTATCATATGGGGGCAGAGATGCCACTAACCCATTTTGTTTATGGCCATGCGATACTTCCCCCAGGCCAGTGGCCATGTGAAGCTGATGCACCTGGGTAATAATAAGAATATGGCAAGAGAGTACAGGAAATACTTTTTATTCTGTTTAAGTTAGACTTGAGAGTTTGTTCAGTGATGAAAAATGTTAATGAATGAATGAAAGAAAGGAAGAAAGAAAAGAGAAGAGAAGAGAAGAAAAGAAAAGAAAAAGGAAGGACTTAGAATGGATGGATTAATGGGAGGCAAGGAAAGATAAGAAAGGGAAGGAAATGGAAAGGGGATAGAAGGAAAAGAAAAAGAGAAGAAAAAGTGAAGGTAGAAAGTAGCGTGTATTAAATTCCACTATGAATGTCATATAGAAACTCAGGATACATACCTATAATCTGTTTTAAGAATATATTATAGGTAGATACTCAACCTGTTAATTTTCTTCCCTAGTATTCATTCCAGATTAAAAAAAAAATACACAACAAATGCACCCACTTAACATTTATAATATAATCGTAGAGTTGGTGGGGCCTTCAGAGACTGTCTCACCTTACCTCTCAGCCAATGAGTGACCTCATCTATGTGTCCCTTGGGAGATGGCCGGGTGCCTCTCCCTGAAACCTCCAAGGTTGGAGAGGCTTCTCCCCCTCCATTAAGAGATGTTTCCTACCAACATATAGACAGGTCTAATTGTGAAAACATTTCTAAGGATGGGTAATAATTTGCCTCCTTTAACTTCTACCAAGTGGTCTCAGGGGCTCTGAAACCAACTGAACAACTTCGCACTCACTTTACCATAGAGGTCACTCAAGTATTGGAAGACAGCAACTGCTAATAATTCCTCTATTTTCTTCTCAGGCCAAACAATACTATGTTGTTCCTTATTCCTCATCCTAGACAACCACCATTCTGCCGGTATACAAATCTCTTCCTTTTAATTTACAAATTATTTGAATGATTGAAATATGCTTAATAATAGCATTAGTATTTCAAACTTAGAGAGTACTGAAAACGTCCTTAAATATATTTTCAAGAAATAGTAAAACATGTGTGTGCCTTCAAGCACACAGCATAAATTTTTCCTACACTAATTCAACTCATGCAATCTCTAACCTTATAGATTAACATTCTTTTAAAACTCAGAACTGTTCATAATACATTATATTCTAACCATATTCTCCCTGGAAATGCTTTCCACCCTTCTCTTCATAAATATAACACAGCTAGAAAGAAGTCTACCTTTTACTTCCAAATAATCTGGTAGAACCCTGAAGAAAAAGGAGGGTTTGGTAAGGAAGATCTTTTTTTTTTAAATTAAATTTATGGGGGTAACAATTGTTAGTAAAATTACATAGGTTTCAAATGTACAGTTCTGTAATACATCATCTATATATCATTGTGTGCTCACCACCCAGAGTCAGTAAGGAAGATCTTAAAGGGCAGAAAAGAATATTATTATAATGAAAGGAAAGGTTGAGGTAAAGAAAGACTTTACTCCAAGTGGGCAAAAAAAAAAAAAATAGTGAAGAATGAAAAAAAAATTGGAGAAGCATTAAAGCCACCATTAAAATACATAAGTGTATAAGATTTCATGCAATACAGGAGCCTTGGATTCTAAGTGATGGTGAGAGATGAGAAGTCTCAAAGGAGGAGAGTGTTGAGATGATCTTTGTTTTTTGAGGGAGGAAAGAACACGAGTCATTGATTTTACACAGGTTCCTAGAATACGTCATTACCTGTCCTCTATCCCTGACCCCCTTCCCTCTGGGAGAACTTGTACGTTGCAATCAAGCCACATCTCAACTTGCCAACTGGTATAAAATTAATAAAATTGATATTTGAATTACTTCCAATATGCTTTTTGTATAAACTTTAAGAACATTGTACTTTCAGATACTCCATTTTACTGATTTTTTTTTCCACATCTTCATATCCTTTTAAATGTCCCTCTTCAAATCCAGCAGGCATCTTAGATCCTTGGGTTCTTCAAATTGAATCCATTGTTTATTTGCATAGCTTCCCTCATATTTTTACAACCATAACTTCCCTCCCTCCTTTGGTTTTTCTCATGATGATATCCACTCATGACACCGTACTACTCATAACAAACAGACAAATAAATGGACTTTTTCCTACCAGTACTTATTGGGCAAAACATAAAACTGCTGTTTCGTTTACAGCATGAAAGAAAATAACCAAAATCAAATGTATTGCAGTAAATATTCTCCATAGTCCACAAAAGGCAAGATACAATTAAGTGCATTTATAAACCCCCTAAAGATTGCACAAGTCTGAAGTAACCTGTAAATTTGTATCTAAATGATGTCTAGAGGATTTTAGGGAGGAGGAATTGCAATTGAAAAGGTCAACGATAGAAGCACAAATGAAACAAACACAGTTACAAAAGTTAGCAGAAAACTATACACCAGAAATTTACTTTGTCTCAAAAATTAGTATCCCTCTCACTTCCATAATTTCAAAGCCAACTGTTATGCCTGAAAGAAGTCTCCTAGGTGTCAGGCATGATAGTAAAGGTTTACACATATTTTCCAGAATGGTATATTTAGCAGCAACTCACTTTGAGTTTTTAACACTGATACAAATTGCTTTCTCATTGCTTGCATGGTCTCTTTTATGAGTAGAAAACAGAATAACAGGTTCAATTTGGTGCTTTTGCATTTTTACTTACTGGAAGATGGACCACTTAATCTATACGGTCCTGCTCTTATTTTTTAGGCTTTAATTGTATATACATTGTAATTAACACTGCCAGTACTATCATCTTTAATGGGAAATCAAATTTTATATGAATGAAACTGATTCACAGAGAATTATGTCCTCTACACCATCCACATTAAAAAATGTTTTTATTTAGAGTACAGCTCCCTGATTTATTTTGAGAAATAACCCTAATTTTGTGGATGATTTCAACAGTGATATGCATGGAAAATTTTCAACTCATCTGGTTACACTAGGTATTTGGGGGGAAAAATAGCAAAACATGGCTAGCAGCTTTATAGTTATCTTCTAAATATTCTCCTGTATAGTTATAGCACAGACCCTAATCTGTCTGAATTATTAGGAACCCAAGAGTAAACAGTGAAACTCAAGGGACTCTGCCTAAAAACTAACTTGGAAGAGGCCATTTTGAGTCAGAAGCAGAACCTAGTATAGCACGTGGCAGAAATCCTGAAATTCCTGTGTGCTGTGGGCTTGGATTTAACATGCATCATTATTTAGGGAATTAAATTGGAATGCTTTGCTATCCTGATATGACTATTCATGTGAGAGATATTTGAATAGGCTCTTCTTTTCACTTTCTTACATACATTTTTGAATACTAGCAGAAGTGGGAAAAAATGGCTTAAAGAGAATAATCCCATAAATACCACTAAACAGATGCTCAGTTGAAAAACCATGAAATATACACCCTTCTATTGAGAGATTACCTGTGACAGTAACGCTCCAAGTTATTTACGCACAAAAAGGTGTGTGTCACAGGGACACCCGCCCATAGCATGCTACACTTTAACAGAGCAACCAACAAATGCTGTCAGGAGAGGCACAGTTTATGTCTTTGAAAATACTCCATAAGAGGTGCTTAGAGCAAGATTAAATGCTACCACTTTAAAGGCAATAGATAAATATTATTTGATTCTACAGGTCCAGAAGATTAAAAAGAAAAAAGATTGTTAAGGATTAAGACTTGCTCTCTTGCCTTTGTACCACACACAGGTCTTTTGTGAGCAGCAGCTTGTCACAGAAATCACACAATGGTGAAGAGTAAATCTTCAGCACCTGGTCTACTCAGGTTCAGAACCACTCTTCTCCACAACTGTGGACACTGTGGATTACTCTTTTAAAGCCAAACTAATATGTTTTAAAAAACGAGCAATATTTGCCTCTGATGTCTTTCTGAGCTTTCTTCTTCTAAAGCTGTTTCACTAAGATTCCAGAAAACCTCATAAAACATCTTGTAACAGCAGGGTCTACATAGAGAATAAAAAAACCTAAATTTAGCATCAGCTGTATGAATCAGGAACAAAGAAATCACTGGTCAGGTTTCAGTCTTTCAAATTTAAGAAGCCCTGTATGAAGTCCTTTGTGGAAATACACACTGATATAAAATATGATGTGGTCAATGGTTTAACACTTGTGACTTTTTGAATAGGAACTGTATGATGCAAATATACTTCAGTAGAGCACTGAATTTAAATATAAAAATTAAAATGTATACAGTTTAGTTATTTGGGCAGGTGGCAAAGCTGACAGCTAAAATTTAATTACGAAACTGAAGAATTACTTCTGACATCTTCATATCTAGTTAATTAAAGATTATGTCACAAGTTACTACTGAGGCTTATGTCATCAAAAAGGTCTAGTTTGTGAAGTATAAAAACAGTTCATACTTATCTACATAGAAGTTTACATTGTCATAAAGTACACACTCAGAAGCATTTTTTGCCAAGCACCAAAACCCACCCCGGAAACAAAAAAAGTTTGTGAGTAAAGCTGTCAGAAGAGGCCTCTGCATTTCTGAAAATGTTACTATAATTCACAGAGCTTGTCATTGAGGTTAAAGCAAGGGCCATTTATTCAGGTACTACTGAGGCAGCAGAGCAAATGACTATAGAGACAATTTACCCCTAAGGCCCTCCATTCTTCATTACCTACCTGTGGTGAGGTTACCTTGAGGGAAACTGAAAAAAAAGTGTCCAATTAATGACTAAGTAAAAAACATGTTTGGAGTTTTAAAATATTAACTTATTTATGGATGTCTAGAATGTACTGGACACCAGGCCAATAACGCCCAGGGAAGACTGCTACTATTCACTTTCTCCAAATCAACTTCACAACTGGTTCTAACAGCGTTATCAAGAAAATAATTTTAAGAAACAAAGAATTACAAAAAAATATTTTTGAGTCACTATAGTTAAAAAAATCAGAAGAATGGAAGCTATTTGCTAATGCAAATGTGCAGCTTCTAAAAATTCCATGCTCGTTTTCAGAGCAAACCCGACTTACCCAGTAAGTCGGTGTAAAGTGCCTGTTCCAGGTCACCGAGCATTGTCAGGATCACGTCGGCATCCAGATGAGCTGTGCCTTCCCGCAGGCAGCTTTCCCCCTCCTCCTCCGCCCAGCTCCTGCTGATGCTGCTTGGCAGGGAGGACAGGTTTTCATCTTCCGACCTGCTATCTTCATCGCTCTCACCTTCCAAACCTCGCCTGGAAGACCAGTCCTCTGAGCCCTGAGCGCCTGACGGGCTGGCGGGCAGGAGGCTCCAGGCCCCTGAGCCGCTGCTGTGGTAGAGGGACTGGACCGACCTGGACAGGAACCTGGACAGCGAGCGCCTCTCTGCATCGTGGGATTCTCGCTGGCTGGCTTTTGCTGCGTTTCCAAACCAGTTGGAAATGCGCACAGTGGGTCTCCTCTCCCCTTCACTGGTGAGGGAAAGACTGGTCAGAGACTTCTGTTTCTGGAGGCAAGCTCCCTTTCTCCTTCCGCCTTTGCCCCGGAACACAGAGAGTTCCGCCGGCCGCTGCATGGCTCTTCTAGTGGTGTCTTCTTTTCAGTTGGAAGTCATATTGTCTTTTTTGCACTGAGATGGCAAGTAGCCCTTTTGGTTTCAATGAACACGTGCACTTCATTAAAAGCTCAGGCAGGCTCAAACATTCACACAAGCTTCGAGAGTGATAGTAGAATTAATTAGCTGGCCACAATTTTGCGTGCCGCCTCATGCCCTCATCAGTGCTACTTACACACATTTTGCGTGAACCTATCTGAAGCGGAAGAGAGTTCACCCAAGAGGCTGCTCCAGCTGAAAAGTAGCACAGGAATCCAACTACGCTTCCCCATCTTCCTCCAATCGCATGTCTCAGCAGGGCGCTGGGTGCACATTTCCCTCCACTGCTTCTGTGCTCCCAGGCGCGAGAGAGTGAAACACCAGCAATGCCTCTAGCTTTCCTGTTTTGGTCCAGCTCTCATCCAGCCCTTCACTGATTTAGGTCTGCAGCCCTTGACTCGAGAGGAGCTGACACAGTGTATGGAGCATGTGCAACCCCTGCATCGGAGCCGTGGGAGAGCAGACACTCAGCAGCGACGCCCAGCCCTGCACGAGCGCCTCGCGTTTTAGCATTCCACCTGCATCCTCAGATCTATGGCTCTTCCTTGCTGCTGCAGTGGATGCCGCTGGCTGCCATGGCAGCACACACACTGCTAAATTAACACAGAGGCACGGGAAGCGGCTGCCCAGCCTAGAATGCCACAGGTTTCAAAGCCGAGCCTGAATGAGACGCTGCACTATTAACCCTGTGCACATTTAAATCACTCTTGGCCACCCAGTCTCAAATACGGACACACACACACAACGCTCATATACACAACACACGCTCTCCGACACCGAGAATGACAGACTCATTCTCTGTAGCTCTAGGCAGCTGAAGCATGCAGACCTGCCTTCTGAATGTTGGGATTTGTGCTGTAAAAGCACAAATCAAATTGAAGAAAGGAGAAAAACCTAAAAAATGGAGCATGACACTCTCCACCAGCTGACAGATAGTGCTTTAAAGGAAAAGACCCTCACACTCTCAGAGCAAATTCAAGGGCTTTTTATTCTGAGCTATTTAGGAAAATCCTAACGTGACAATAAAAATCCCAACTTCTTTCTGTAAAAAATAGCCACACACACACACACACACACACACACACACACACACACACACACACGGTTTGTCCTCAATATTTTCACTCAAAGCATATAATTGAAAGTTTATGGCCAAGTGTGTAGAACATAATGATGTGACAAAAAACATAAAACACACATTAAATCTTTTGATATTGAGCATTTTTCCTAGTCTTCCATAAACCTACTGCAGCATAAACCACCCTTTATTATTAATATTTTGACAAAAACAGAAAATTAACAAGATAAATGTCTTGCATGTATTTCGTACTGTTTGTGTATACTACACCACCACCCTAAAATTCTGATTTTTAGGAAAACTTTTAAAACATACCTATTGGGTATATTAGAGACCATGTGTACCTCTGAGAGCTAAGGAAAAAGTATTTAAAGGAAAATTTTTGAGAATTTTTCTGTCCATAAGAATTCCTTATTAAAAGAGGGCAAGTGGAGAAATATGTAGAAATATTCACCTTATTGAAATTGACATATAAATCTCTATCATTTTCTGAACTAATGTGATTAAATTAATCTTGATATTTCACTTCAGAAAAATGAACTAATGGCAATGCCCAATCTCTTAATTACATAAATTAGCATTATACTGTGCATTGCCTATACATTTACATGTGATAACAACCTACTGCAAAGTAAATTATTCCTTATGCCCAGGCTCAAGATATTATATACCACACCTAGATCTAGTTGACGCAGATGCATAAAAATGAATCAGATAAAAAGGACAGCAATTACCTGTGATAAAAATTTTGCAATTAAACAAACCTGGGACTTGGGAATACTGATTCTCAATTCTTTGCTCTTTAAAGATAAATTGTGTTTATATAAAGTATGCTTAAATAAAATTAGGACACAAATGTCAAATCATAGAAACAAACAATTATCCTTCTAAAATCATTATTTTGCAAAGTATTTTTTTTAAAGATCAAAATGCCACACCCCTTTGGATTCTTAATCAGAACACTTCTTGTCTTCATTTTTAGTTATTGTGAATTGCCAGGGTATGTTTGCCAAGGTTTGTTGAAGTTATACAACTTCAAATTTTCAACAGATATTACACTAGTGTAGTGTAGCACAAAGTCTTACAGATTCAAAAACAGGAAATCTTTATGCTTTAAACATCAAAAACAGTTAAACTTTATGCATCTAATTATGCCCTCTCCTTATACAAAGGTGCTTTTGCACTGTCAGCTTAAGCCAGTGGTTCTCAAACTTGAATGTTCAGAACCTCTTAGAGGGCCTATTAAAATACAGCCTGCTGGGCCTCAGCCCCACCCTATTCATTAAGAAGGTCTGAAAGGGGCTTGATTGAGACTTTGCATTTCTAACATATTTCCATGAGATACAGATACTGCTGGCTCTAGGACCCCATTCTGAGAACTATTAGGCTGAGACTACTGGTTTTTACCCAGGGGAAATTTTTCACTGGGTCTCCCCTAGGAGACCCTCAGCAATATCAGAAGATATTTTTAGCAGTCCCCTCTGGGTGTGTGATGTTTCTGACATCTAAATGGTAGAGGCCAATAATGCCTGCTACACATCCTGCAATGACAGGACACACCCACAACAAAGAATTATGGAGGCTCCAAGGTCAATAGTGACAAGGTAGAGAAATTCTGGCTTAGACTAAGGAATGTGGCATTTACAAACAATTTACAAATCTCCATAGCTTTCAAAGGCAAAGATGTGCATTCATGATTCATGTTGGCTGCAGTTCTGACCCAGGTCCTTTTACACTAAGACCCAGGCTGAAAGACCAACTCCAATCTGAGACATGTTGCTCTCATGACAGAGGGAAAAAGAGACAAGAGATCCAAGCAATGGCTCTTAAAGCTTCTGATCAGGAATGACCCATGTCATATTTTCACTCACATTTCATTGATCAAATCAAGTCACAGGGTCCACCCTGATTCAGGGGGCCAGGAAATACAGTCTTCCTACAGGGGTGAACCCAGGAAGGGGTGGGTTCAATGGAGGCAGTGAGGAAGGGCTGGTTATTTTGAAGAAAAAAAAATAATAGAAAAAATATCAAAAGGGTATTTTTGTTAGGTTCTTTGTTTAAAGATATTGTCGTCAACTTGTAGTTACAGCAGTGTTTTCCCCTGAAACTACATCAGTCCATAAGTTTACCCTGAACAAGAGCAGAGAACCCACTTATTGCTTCTCTAAAGGCAGGTATCTCTGCTTGCTTTGGGTATGTGTTCATACACGAGTGTGTTTATATTTATTTGTATTCACACATATAAATATATGTTACACATGGTAGAGGAGGGAGCCTCAATGCATAGGAGACAAATAATCCCAATCAATACGAAAAATATGAATGACTCTAATTTTGCCAAGAACTAAAACAAAGTATAGCCACTATGCTGTTCTAAAAAGGAATGCATTTCAGCTCTTTGGTAAACATAATTATCAAGTGGCTATATGACAAGCCAGCTTTGCTGATACTGAGTCAATCTGGCATCTATTAATGTTTTTCTGTTGAATATAAATTCTAGATAAAGGTTAAAAAGTGTATTAAACAAATGCCATACATGTTGGTAGACAATTTTATGCAGAAAAAGGGCAAGTGTGAACCTATGCAGAAATAAAAAAATTAAAAGGTTTCTTGAATGATTCCAGTGCAATGAAAAATAAAGCTCACTGTACATTTGGCAGGGTCTGTTGGCACTTGATGAGAGGGATGGTCTCTGAGGCCAAATTCTTTTTGTCAATGAATACGAGAATGAAACCCAAGCCAAAATTGTAGAATCTGAACTGTCAGTTTAGTCAGACTTATAATGTCGAGGTCATGGCATGAATCTTAAAGGATGGGCTAGAAGCAAAAAATTCATCACTCATTGCCACAAATTATATAATACAGGTCACCTGTATGTAATAATTAATGGACCCACCATATTCAGATCAGGTAAATATCACTAGGCGTTCCTCCTAAGAACATGACAAACAATAAGAAACTTGAATTATATTCATAAGGACTTCAAAGGGCTATAAGGTCTCCGACTTGAGAGTCCTATGTTTTCTCTGGTTTGCCATTTTACTGACTGTCACTCTTCTAATGCTTATCTTCATATCACAATTTAACTACATTTTTAGTTTCCACTACCATTTAATTTCAAAGATAATTTTTTATAACTTCATGGGAGTTACTGCATATATGAAAATATAAACAGCCAAGCTTTCCAACTAAGTTAGTGAACCTTCCTAACAAATTTGCTTGGCAGTGTGAGCTGTTCAAGTGTGCTCCTTAACGATGTCACAAATCGTTACATGTCATGTCTCTTGCAGGTTATGCAATAGGGATGCTTTTCCCATTTGTTTAAGCACAAAAAAGGATTTTCCCCGGGTACCATAACAGAAAATTGAAGAGAAGGCAAGAGGGTCAGTTTCAGACATGGCTCATTCAGGGGCTCAGGCATTTCTGACAATGACCTTGAGCTCACTCTCGCCTGCTTTAGGTTGTGTTTCCTCAATGCTTGTTTCAGTTGAGGATGAAGGTAGCCACCTGCAGCTTCAAGCTTTCTTTTTTCTTTTTTTTTTTATTGTTAGTTTCAGGTGTACAGAACAATGCAATAGTTACCCTTTTCACCCTCACAAAGTAACAACCCCCCTCCCACCCATGTACTGCCCTCCCACCCCCAATATCATGCTTATCTATTACAATTCCATTGACTCCATTCCCACTCTCTACTCCATGTCCCGAGACTATATGTATATATAATTACAGTTGACATACAATATTATTCAACATCAGCTTCGGAAATACAGTGCGGTGGTCAGGCCTCTACACCGACTATGAAGTGGTCTCCCCAACAGGACATGAGTCCATCTGGTCCCCTAAGAAATATTTACAACATTATTGATTATATTCCTCAGACTGTCTTTTTCTATCTCTGAGGCCATATTGCAATTACCAATTTGTATTGTCTCATCCCTTCTCCTTCTCCTTCATCCCCACCCCCTCCCAGCTAACAACCCTCAGTTCTTCCTCTGTGTCTCTGAGACTATCCTTTGCAACAATATGGATGGAACTAGAGAACATTATGCTAAGTGAAATAAGTCAGTCAGAGAAAGACAAATATCATATGATCTCACTTATACATGGATTCTAAGGAACTGAATGGATGGGAGAAGTAGATGGAGATAGTCTCAAGCTTTCTTTTGATTAGCTTCAGGTCTAGTGGAAAAAAGTGTCTCCTTCCTAATAGTCTCAGGAAAGGCTCTGGATTGGTTTTGAGTGAACTGAGTTGGGTCACATGTCCATTCCTAAGTCTCACCGTGGTCAAGGAAATGGGTTGTTCTGATTGGATCTGTTGGGTCAATTTCACTTGACCCACATGAACAGAGAATGATGGGGTTATAGTCCTCTTCCCCCCCCCAAAAAAAATCAAGATATTGTGTTTAGCAGACTGAGCAATGGATGTTTATCAGGCAAAACTGTACCAAGATGTCAAGGTATGCTTGTGGTGAAGCCAATGGTGTTTAAGATACAGAACTACTAACTCGCTTCAGTCCCTTTCTTAAACACTGTATATAATTATGTAGTTTTATATTATTTTCAGACTCTCCCAAATTGTATAGGCTTCAAAAATTTGCAAAACCTGGATCTTATCCTTTTAAGACTAACTCCGTCAGAGTGCTGTATCATTAAGGCTATTGCACTTGGGAAGCAGGACAGAATTACTCCCCAGTGAGGCTCCCACACTAACCACTAGCAAAAAGAGTTCAACAATAGGAATAGCATTGAAGCTTCAGCTTACAGAAAACCCGTGAACTACCAACGTCCCAATTAATTTAGGAAAAATTCCCAGTCTTACAATAAGAATCTAATGAAAATAAAAGGTAAGTAGAATTTTTTTCCAAATTATTTTCATTGAAGTTGTTTCTTCCTGAAATATTATTCCCTGATTTCTTTGTCCATTAGAATTCCACAATATACATGTGTGACCTTCTTTTAAGCCCCATATAACTCTTTACAGCTAAGTTAGCTGTTCCCATATGTCTAGTAATTCAATCATTTGTGGTTTTACAGTTTTATTTTTCTCTTATTCTTCCATAGGAGAACTCATGTCTTAGCCATGTTTGTTTCCCCGAAGCTTGGCATACCTGGCATGTATAAAGCACCAGATGATGATTATTGAAAAGACGAATGGAAGAATAAAACCATATCTCACACTAATCCTGTGAATTTATTAAGCAGTACAATAGTCACTTCGCAAAAGTGGAAACCAGGGGCAAATCAAACAGCTAAATAACGGCAGTGCAGGGGCCAGAAATAATTGTTCTACTTCCTAAAATACTTCTTTTCCCATATCTCATATTGTCTCTGAAGGAATATCCTGTGGGCAAGTCTAAGGTAGGGCTTGGCAATACATCAAGTGCTTATGTGGTTTGTGGTTTCTCTGGCAGCGAGAATGTAGTAGCTGTACTAGCAACAAAAGAAATCAGAAAGAGAAGGAAAGCTGTGGAAGGGGTCAAGACAAATTTGGTTTTTATGTATATATATGTATGCATGTATGTATGTGTGTATACATGCATGTATACAAGTATGTATGTATTTAAGATTGGAGAAACGGTAGCATCCTAGGGGCTAAAGACAATGATTTCGTGGAGAAGGAGACAGTAAAGAGGTAGAAGAAAAAGTAATCCAAGGAAAAGCAGAAAAAATGGGTATAAACATTGTACATAAGTAAGTAGATGTCATCGCAGGGGTTTACGAAATTCTTTTCTTTCTGCTTTAGGGTTTTTCAGTGAAGTGAACCTCAAGGTCATTGGTTAAGAGAAAGGATGGGACAGGTGGTATCGTAGGTTTGAGAAGAAAATAAATGTTGCAAAAAAGAGTAAATGGACCAGAGAAATATGGCATGATTCTTGAGCAGTATTAAATATGCACTTGAGATTGGTTGTCATGAAGGTAAAGTGAGTCATATCAACACGTGATGGGTTTTTCTCCAGGTCAATTCATTGCTAGATGGACTAGGTGCAGAGCTGAAAGTAACCAGGTCGGTGATTCCTCAAAAGAGTACAATGAAGTAAAAGAGAAGCAAGGGAGTTAGAGGATATGCAAAATTAAAATTACATTCAGTTACCATAGGGATTCAGCTGATTTAACGGGGAGCAGAAAGAATATGAAGATTTTGGTGAGGGTCAGTAAAAGGTGGTGGGATCAATGAATTGGAAATCATAGTAGAACCATTGGTGGAGTCAGGGAATAAAAGGAAGAACCCTGAAAAGATAGGAGGTTGTAATCAGCAAAATGGGGTGCATGAAAGAGAGGTTATAGAGAAGCTGCAGGTTCTTATGATGCCCAGATCTTGGGTATGACCATGAGAGTAAGTAGCTTGGAAGGAAATAGAAGACAAGATCATTGAAATAAAGGTCAGGGTATGCTAGTCATCTAATCACTGGTCACTTGTATACCCTTATCCAGATTTCTCAGCTATGGTACTCAATATATAGCTTATTAACCATGAACAAATACCATCTTTCTTCCACAAAATCTCAAGTTTGCACTGAGAGGAATTTTTACTACCTCAATACTGGCTAAATTAATGACAAAATCAGATAAACCTCATTTCAGGACTTGTATGCTCTTTTCTTTCTTTTATTATATTCCTATCTAACTCATAGACTTAAATCTATGATTCTATATAAATAAATTATTGCTAAAAATATTATACCTTCTAATAAAACAATTAAATTATTATATTATATTAAAGTCTACTTTATATTTCACTTTTAAGTAGTATTCTATTAAAACATCAGAACATTAAATGAAAACATTAACTTGAAATATGAAAAAAAATGATCAAACAGCAGACTGAATAAGAAACTGGAGATAAAAATCAAATATGGATTATTTAATCAGAGCTACTCAGTGATATATTAATTTCCAGGAAAAAAAAACAATGTTTCTCTGTGAAATTCATGTAAATATTAGTATTCAAACTCTACTAAATGCATTTTCCCTAACCAATTTGAATTCTTTATTTTATAGTCCTTTTGATACTAATTGAAGACATCCATGAGTACAGAAATATGTGAAGCATATGCATCTTCATGCGACACTAGATTTAAGAAATATCTAATCAGAAATGCAGATATGCATAATCATTTTGACCATGGGGCTGTCTGGAGCTATGGGAAAGCTAACACTTCCCCCAAATATTTGTAACATCTGCAAATGCCATCTCCATAGCTATGTTTTGCATCACCATTTCTACCCCTCCCCTGCACTGGCCCACTGTCATCACCACACGAAACCTCTGATGCCTAATTATACCACTGCTGTTAATTCTAAAAGGAACCCTGGGGATGTTGTGCTGTCGCTGTTGTCAGTAGCCATTGGTGAGTATTGCAGTAATGGCGAACGCTTGCCAAAGTGTTTCACGTATGCCGAAGTGAGACATTTCTTAACCCCAAATCCATGATATGGTTACTTTCATGAGCTTCAGAGCAATATTTGGAATCTTTGGCGTACTGCTGTAAATTTTTTTAATTAAATAGTTATTTTAGGTTTTTTTCTTTGGAATATACAAGGGTTAAGCTGGAGATTTTCTGGAATACAGACTTTACTTCTACTCCCATGCACTCTTAGACTTAGAAACAGATAAAATATTCTTAAACTCTCTTTCCCTTTAGGAACAGTATATTTTGCTAAAAGCTTACTTAGATCTTCATGAATACAGACCTATATAAAACAAAATTACACAAAAGGCCTTTCATACATGCCTAGGCTTATCTGGATCCTAGAAAAAACATTAGACTAAAGCTAAGAGTCCTGTTTTATACATTGACAAACTTTGTCTGGGGTATTTATGTGTTTTTTATTTTTTCTTACATTGCATGTATATGTCTTTTTTCTTACATTATTTGTATATTAAAATATTTCCATAATTAGACTTTTTATTTCCAGAACACACATTTGTAGTTACCATGTAGACAGACATGTTCTAAATAATACAGAATTGAAGACAGAGCAGGGTTAGATTGACCATGAAAAATGTACATGGACACCTGATCCTTAATACGTTTTAAATCTCCAAATATATTCAACAGCTACCTTATTAACAACAGAAGAGTCTCTAGGTTTTTTTGGGGTTTTTTTTATTGCATTCAACTTGCCAAGGGCAATAATGACTTAAAATCTCAGCCTCTCAAAGCACTACCATTCTTTACAGAGCAAGAAAGCAGAATAGCCAGATATCTAAGAACCTCTGAACCATAAGATGTACACAGTCCATTTATGCTTAAGAGAAAAAGTATAACATAAATACGACTTAATAAAAAGTCTTATGGAGAGATTACCAAAATCCTAAGGTTTGACCTACCCATCCATCAGGTCACTTACCAGATATCTCCTCCAGGCACTGCTTAGCAGTCTTACTATATGATAAATCCATCTTCGTAGGACTGGTGCAGGAGTCAGCAGAGGGTAGAGACGGACCTTCACTTTCTGAATGTGCTCTGAAATTAACCAAGAAAACAGAAATTAATAGCAACTGCCGTCACCTGTGACTCATCAAAGTTCTCTAGTACAAGAAGAAATCAACATATTAAAAGTTTTCCATCAGGGGAAGTAAGAATTTCTTTATAACTGGGACATTCCAAGCTGTCTGACTACAGGAGAATTTCCTTGCCCCTCCCTACTCATTTCTAAAGTCCACCATAGTCTATTCTTCTACTAGGGCCTGTTTCTTGTGGGCCACTGTATCTCCCTGACCTGTTCCTTAGTCTGCTGTCTATGAATGAAGGGAAACAAATTGCTCTGAAGTTGTCTAAGGATCGTGATTACTTGCCGAAGGAGTTTAAATGGAGAGTATGTGGTGAGATTGGAGACCCCAGGGAAAGCTTACTGGCTGCCTGCCAAGGAGGTTCAGTGATGATGCCTTGGTGAGCTGGCTGTGAGCTAGGACTGGCCTAAGCCATGCAGCCTCAGTGTCCACAGACGGTCTCTTAGAAGCCGAGTCACAGTAAGTAGTTTGCTGAGATGGCTGTCTAAAGCCCAATGCCAACTGATTTTTATTAGAACAAGACCAGCAACTGTCACAGGAATCTGAATGCTTGTGGTCACATTAGTTACATTCACAGTATTTCCCTCTAGGAAAACCTGTATGAAGCAAGAGTATTCAGAATGTATTTTGGGTGTTGAGTTTTTGCTTTGCTCTAAACAAACATCTTAAAAAGTATTCCTCAGGAGCTGACTGTGGCTATCTTCCCAATTATATGAGGTCTAGGACTCAATTCTACTCGCTAAGTCCCCACTCATGCTGCCTGAGACAATCTTTTATAAAAGTATTCATGCTTCTGACATCTCAGTCTTATCTTAGAAGCCCCTGTTTTATTTTATTTTTGATGTGGTAGTGCATATTTCTGGCTGATTCACTCTTTAATGTATTTTTAGTTTCAGTCACAAGGGACAATATTATTTGCCGTATTTTTAAGTTCTTTAGTGTATTTTCCATGGTATTCCCTATGAGTTTCCTACAGTAGTGTTGATAGGGAAACAGATTGATCAAGGAAAGGAACAGGGAGGAGTTAATCTTCAAATAATTATAAAAAGGACTTAGAGGGCATCTTTGGTTTGTGTACACATCTAAATGGGTCCAGATCTCTGCTCTACATATGTTACAAGCCATCCATTTATCCAGGATTTCCACCTCATTATACAGAATCAGATTTTAACTCCAGTCTCTAGAGGGACAATCGATGCTAACTGGTAAAGGTTTAAGATATATACATATGATCAAAGAAATTCAGTTAGATATCTGAAGACTCCCACCATGTCCTCTTTTTCTGTGCATGCTTCATTCCAGGAAAATAAAAGATTTCAGGATTGATTCATGAAACAATTTATGAAGACTTTAAAAATCAATAGTGTCCTCTAATCAAAAGGTACATTTTGACATAGGGCAGTGGCATCATTCACTGTTTCTACATAAACTGGTATTGCATTATCCTCATCTTGACTTAAAAAAAAAGAGTATCATGATGATCCTTCAAATTATTTAGCAGACACGGTCCTGTGCACACTATCTTACTGTGCACTTACAACATGTCAACATGTTACAAATACCTATTGAAACTATAAGGTACAGCACTGCAAAAATGCCATCTAATTTAGAGTTCGAATAAGCCAGGCCCTTGGTGCTAGTGTCTGCTACTAAGAGTTGTAGTGGTTGAAAGTCCAGACTTCATGGATGATTAACACAAAAGCTATTTCCTGTTTATGTGCACTTACTATATGGCAAGTACTATGCCTAGTGTTTTACTTAGGGATTACCATTCAAACATCACAATAATCCTGTTAATATGAATTAAATGTTTCCCCTCCAAATTTATACATTGAGACCTAAGGCCCAATGTAATAATACTGAAGGTAGGGCCTTTGGAGGGATTAGGTCATGAGGGTGGAGCCCTCGTGAATGGTATTACTGTGCTTATAAAATAGGCAATCAGAGAGCTCCCTTGCCCCTTCCACCATGTGAGAAGATGGCCACCTGTGAACCAGGAAGCAGGCCTTCACCAGATACTGAATCTGCCAGTGTCTTAACCTTGGACCTTCCAGTCTTCAGAACTGTGAGAAATAAATGTTTGTTGTTTAAACTAATCAGGCTACAGCATTTTTGTTATACCATCCCGAATGGATTAAAAAACCTGTAATGTAGGTGCTATAGATAAATTAAGGCTTCTAGAGGTTTAATATCTTACCCTACATGACAAGCTGGTAGATACTTGTTAAAGTATCACTTAAACCTAGCTGCCTATAAATATTGTTCTGTTAACCACTACCCTACAGTTTAACTCCATCCAAATGCCACTAGACACTGAGTACTTTATTACATTTGAGGTCCCCTCAGCTAGCAGATAATTCAATCACTAGTTAATAACAGACAGTACATATTTGAATATGACAATATCCACTGGTTTATCCTAAATTTTACTCTTTACTACCTTAAATTTTACTCTTAAGATAAAGAAGCTATTATATGTGCCACTTAAAGGAACTCAGCAAAAAACCCTAGATACTATCATTATTCAAATGTCCAGTTTCAGGTATATGGGTTTGCATATTGATTATATTAAAAATATATCTCTCTGTGGATTCATCTTCATATGATTATAGTCATAAATGTTGATACAAATAGAACTGGTTTGAGTCAACATTAGCTAATGGTCTTATAGTTCCTGCTTTATAAACACAACTAACAGGAACGAAAAGCAACCATCTTTCCAAAACCAGAAATGGGGTTGTTTTCTTCTCTCCTTCCTGGTGGGAAGGCAGACAGGTAACAGCCAGGGCCCCAGGCCAGATATAATAATACTTATATATAATAATAAATATTGCGATAATGTTATCAAAGTGTGTGTGTGTGTGTGTGTGTGTGTGTGTGTGTGTGTACCTATATACATTTCACCATTTAGAAAATCTTAGGACCAGTGAGATCTTGGTTTGTAAACATCACTCTCCACAGAAGGAAATCAGGGCTCCTTAGATAAAAGCTGAAGCCAAGGCAGTGAGAGTACAAGATCAGACTGGGAGATCTTCAGCGAAAGCCAAAAAGAAAGAAAGTTCTCAAAAAATAATGGGGGAGAAGTCAGCTTGAAGGGACTTCCAGAGGCTAAATCTGGTAAAATTTATGTATCAAAATAAATAGTCATATCAATGGAGCATATTCCATTGAATACAATAGTAGCCCATTAGCCCACACAATTTAAAGAGAGAGAGAGGAAAAAAGAAATCTTTCTATTAAAGTAGAATAGTGCATAAATTTAGAAGGAATAATCAAATTAGAAATCAATTGACATCCACTGGAGTACATTATTAATTCAGGCAAGAAATCTCAATGGATGCTAACACTTATTGGTAAAAATAAATTAAAGAATACAATTTTTCCACATAGTCTCAAAATATTTCCCACAAAAATACTTATTAAAATAAAAATGGGGCAAAGTAACCCTATAGTGGAAAACCATGGCAGACATTATCTTAATCAAGCGATCAAATTCACCATCATCAAAATAGGTACTACCAATATTGCATGATAGGACACAACGGGAGAAACAGAGCATTATCTCTGCCATTCCAGACAAGATAGGTAAAATGGGTCTAATCACGAGGAAATACCAGACAAACCAACGCTAAGAAATATTTTACAAAACGCCTGCCTTCAACCTATCAATGTCACGAAAGTCAAGAAAAGGCTGAAGAACCATTTCCAGACCAAGGGGCATTAGAAACACATGACAACTGGGTGCATAAGCTAAGTGTATATGAGAGTTCTTTGTACTACTCTTGCAAATTTTCTGGAAGTTAATTTTTTTTTCCAAACAAAGTAGAAAGAAGAAACAGCAATGTTTTGATGAGGCAATCTAGCGATGAACCTTGTAAGCCAAGTACAGAAAGGGTACTTCATACAGAGTTCCTCTGCTGAGAGAATGCCAACTCACAGCAGTGTTCTACCCAACAGGCCCTCTCTAGAATTGTCTCTGTATGTTCCGTCTTAAAAATATTGCTGTGTGAGGGAGTTTAAGCTGCTACCCACCGCACAGATATGTATCAGACCTGGCAAATTCAAGCATGCAAGGCAAGCATTCAATGAGCTTTTTGTGCTGATGACCAATTATGCCCAGTTCACATAAAACCACAACTGCAGCATAATCCACAATTGTAGCTGCAGGGCTTTCAAAAGCTTTATGTACATTTCGATCTTTGTAAAATCACGGAGCCTCCTACTCCATCTATCGGTTCAACAAACAAGGCACACTGAAAACCATGTGAGTAAGCATTTTCAAATACTTTTGTATTCTTTCCCTTTTAGAACATCGTATAATCGTCAATTTCCCGTGTCACTTCCAGGCAAATCTGAAATCTCAGAAAAACTTGTTACAACAAAAACCTCTTCTGAGAATCCATGGAGCTGTTATACATGACACATTGTATATCAAAAGAGAGAAAAACCTCTAAATTCAGACTTTCTTGAGCTAATTTTACAAATTAAGTGTGTATAAAAGATCTCTGCTTATATTTAACTAACGGGCTTAAAAAGCATGATGATTTTCTTCCCTTGTAACATCGCCTTGCCTTATCTAAGGATTGTTTTCTTTCTCTTTCTTTCTCTTTTTCTTTCTTTATTTTTTGTTTTTTATTAATTTTAATTTTAATTTTTTTCTTTTGCAAATTGCCCACATCCCTGATTCTGTTCCCTTTGCCTTCAGGAGTTTGCTTTATGTCCAATGCTTTTTTAAAAATAATTAATTAATTAATTAATTAATGTATTTATTTATTTATTTTGGCATTTACTTAAAATGGTCAGAAAATAAAGAACAAGAATGTAGACCTAAAGACAGTTAAGTTATGAATCTCATTAACAGCTATTTTGAAATTTTGTTAGGGGATGCTAAAAAGACACTGGTTTAGGAAAAATGTACAGTCTCTCTTGTTTCCTTAATTAATTACTTCATTT